TTGATTCCTTCTATTTTTAATAAGGCTCCGCGTACCTATTTTTTAAATATAGGTACAACGGGAATTTTTAACCTTTTATTAATATTTTTATTAATTATAGTATAATATTAGCAATTTTCATCGACGAAGGTATAAAAACAATTTTTATTATTAATAGCAATAAGTATTTTAATAATATTTATTTTTATAAATTCCAGGAAACTCTCAACTCCCGCTTTCTTACTTAATACTTTAGAATACTCCTTTATTTGATTTTATAAGGGAACTACTCTTTTTCTAACTCTTTGGAAGAAGAGTAGTTATTACTATTTTCCAATATAGGTTCTACCTTAAGTTTAATTTTAGTAGATTTAATACTAATAAGGAGACGTTATACCGGTTAATATATATAATTGCCGACTATATACCTACGAATTCCGTAACGAAAATAGAAATTGAAAATACGGCGTTTATTTCTTTCATCTCAAGAAACCTATTTAATATATTTAGCGTCCTTATTATTAAGATTACCCTTTATCTTAATATAGTTTATTATATTATTACTATTTATATTTTTAGAATATTTAAAAGTAAGGGCAAGGTTACGCTAAAAAAGGGAATTCTAATAACGATTATTATATTTTTAATTACTACCCCTAATATTACAGAACGCCTTACTAGCTTTAAACTTTTACATAATATCCTTCAATTATTTAATATAGAGGTTATTGGTTTCGGGTATACGGATTAAAATTAATTAATTATAGAAAGCGTTAAATATAGAAATTTTTAATTAAGTTAGTTTAGAATTATTTTCCTAAATAAAGCTTCTAACTTTTATAAAGTTCTCTTCAAACGTAAGGAAATAACCTAATAAGAACTAGTTCTTTCTCTATTATATAATACGTAGGCGGGTTAGGGCCAGTCTTTTCTCGTTCTTATTGCCGAAGATTAATTTAAAGTAATTAAAAAAATCTTTAGGTTTATAAATATTATTAATACTATTATAACGTTAAAAGACTTCTATTTTGATTATTTTATCAGTTAAGAAGGCGTTAAATAGTATTAACCAACCTAATTTATTATTAGTAGTAATTCCCGTCAACTTTTCTTCTTTATATATAAAGCGTAATTAAGTAATATAGAAATTAAATATAGAGGGGGTTCCGTCCTACTTCAGTTAATAGATATTTTTATATTTAAAATTATAATAGGGAGTGGCTTCTTATATAGTACCGATTATAGTATTCGGGGTAGTAGTAATTATTGTAATAATTATATTAATATTAAGGGGGTTCTATTAATTTTAAATAGTAAATTATATATTAAATACTAATTTTACTATTTGGGCGAATATGTTATTAGTAAATAGTATTTTAATAAAATCTTCCTTTTTTCGTATAAGGCGTACGGCTTCTCTCTTCGTAGTTTCTCCTTATTCTATGGCTACGGCGGCTACAACGGTAGAAAATTCTATAGGAATTCTAATTACGGCTATTTAAGTAAGTAAGCTCTACTACTATTATTATAGCAGCTACTTATCCTATTCTATTAAGTCTATTATAATAGAACCTAATATAATAGGGATAGTACGGTTAATATAGGTATTAGTTGTATAGTTTAATTGAGGTTCTATAAAGAAGGAAAGTTCTTTTAAGAGGCGGCTCTACCGGAGATGCGAGGTTTTAATGGGGGCTGCACAGGTACAGCCACGGCGCCTTATAACAGCTCTGGTCGATGACCAGAGCACTATAGCCCGGGCCTTAGCCCCATGACAGAAGATATTAGAATAAAAATAGGTTATATAAATATTATAAAATTATAAAATTAAATAACGGGTAGTAGGTAAACGTTTAGGAGGGTAATAAAGGATATAGAAGGGTAATGCCTATTAAGAAGAAATTAGGAAGAGTTGAATTTAATCGCAGGCAATTAGTCTCTCACTTAAATATTAACAACTGTTTTAGTAGTAAGTGTTATAATATAGTTTAATAGCCAACCCGGGGTATAAGTATAGTACGCCCTTTAGGATAGGTATTAGGAGTATAATTTAATGATATTATATTAATTTTATTTTATTACAAAAGTAGATTTATTTCGATTAATTTTCATTATTTATTAAATAAATATAGTTTTATTTACGTTTATTATTAATAAGATTCAAAATAATTCGTAACTTTAGTATTTATATTAAATTAACTAGGAGTTTTATTAAGTTAAGAATTATTTTTCGAATTATTTTAAAAATTCTTTATATTTATAAGATTTATATTAAACTTTAATTCGAAAGAAAAATATAATTATTTAATTATGATTATATTCCGTTATATAAGAAATGATTATTTTATATAAAAGCTTTATTTAATACTTTACATGAAGAATTTAATATGTTAAGAGTTTTAAATTGAATTATTTATATAAATATTAAATATATATTATATAATTAATAGGTTGTGTAAATATATATAGTATTTTTTTAATTAAATAAAATCGAATAAAATGAATTAAATATTCGCAATTCAAATTCTATTCTATATATAATTCTAACTTTTATAAAAAGTATATAAATAATTTATATTATATTAAACGGCTCAAAATAACACTGTAGTGTATATAATTGAATTAAAGTAAATTAAGACGCTTTATTAATAAGCGAACTATTTATTCTTCTAATTTCGAAACCTTTTAAAATTTAAAAATAGTCTTTTTATTTATTTTTAATATACGGAATTAAAGCAATTATCTTTATAATTCTTAGAAGACGAAAAACGCAACCTTATAATTATATTATTTATAAAATAATTAAATAATTTAAAAAATCTATAAGTAGGAAACTTCTTTAAAAGAAAAAAGGATTTTATAATAATTAAATATTATATAGTTATATTCTAACTAATTTATTATTTATTTATAATAATTATATATTAAATATCTTTATTAAATAACCGTTAACTATTCTTTTTGACTTTGAACATTTTGATTTTATTCTTTCTTATTTACGTTTAATAATTATTCGAATCGATTTATAATATAAATATTTTTACCACCGGAATTTAATATACCTTTAATTACAATTATACATAATTCCTTAGAAAAGAAATATTTAAATCCTTATATTAATTATTAAATGTAGTTTTTTAATTTTATTATAGAATTCTTCAGATTTTTATAAGGTTTAAAATATTTTTAAATTAAAAGTAATTTAAAAGCCTAATACTAGTAAAAATAAAGGTTACTGTCTTTATTAAAACGGTCAAATAAATATATTTTAAGGAAATTAATAATAAGTTTATAAAATATATAATTTTTAAAAGAATAAAACCTTTTAAAGGAAAAATATTTAAATAACGTTCTATTTCTACCTTTAATATAATTTAGGAATTTAACGAATTTTAGTATTAAAGGGTTTAATTTAAAATTATTAAATAAAAGTTCTTAAAACTTTTATTATTAATTTAATATTCAAATTAAATAAGGCCCTAGTTGTTAACTTTTTATTTTGTTTTTATTATTATTATTCTAAATATAAGAAATATAAAAGGTTTTATATATTTTATGGTAATTAATAGAGTAAATAAGCCTTTTAAAAATAATTACTTAAATATATAAAATACATTTAAACCCTAACTATATAATTACTTTTAATTCATTGTTTAGTATTTAACGTATTTTAACCTTACACTTTAAAATTTTAATGCGAACCTAAACTAAAACCCTCTCTAAATCCTTAACCTTATAATTATAAATAATTTTAGTAAAGAAGGGGACCTTATCTTACTTCTTCTTTTCTTCGCCTTTTTCAAAAGTTAAAAAGAATATTAGTAAATAAATATAGTAATTGAAAAAGAAGTAAAAACATAATATACGCTTGCGTAAAGAATAATTTTTACCCTCGCTTTTATAATAATAATTAGTATAAGTACCCTTATTAATAAATTTGCCGCCGGAAATATGATCGGCGAAAGGACTATAGTTATTAATAGTTATATATTTGGTGTAAGGCTTTATATTAATTTTAGCGTTAAAAAAATAATAGGCCAAGTTAATAAAATATTCGGAGCGGTCCTACTTTAAAACCGAAGTGATTAACTCTCCCTTTACCTAATATCTTTTGAAATCAAGGCGGCGGATAATAATTTAAACTGTTTTTATTAAATTTAATTACTTTTAACATCGATTAATCAATTTTAATAGGTGTTTTTACTTAGTTTATAGTTAAAATAGTATAAGCTTTATTAATATTATAGTTGAAGAGTTTCTTAATAGCGAAGTAGAGACGTTTCTTATTAAGTTAATTATTATTTAATTTTTTTAATATTTTATCGTCGTCCATATTTTACGTAATAAACTTGCCCTTAAAAATATAGGGCCGGAGCTTTATAATAATGTCGCTTTCTTTATTAATAGATGCATTTTCCTTCTTTAGCGTTAATTTAAAGTAAATATACGTTAGTCTTATATATAATATACGTTTACAATTTAATTTTAATATATCGTAATCGTTAATAAATAATAGGTTATTATTATAGTAAAAGTATTTATATATATTAAAGTATATAGAGAAGCAGGGTTATATATAATATAAAATAGACTTAATTGCTAAACTGAATCTATGCTAACGCGCCTGGGCGCGTACCTAGTACCTACAGCTGACACGGGCCATTTTCTGACCAAACTTTTTCAATTGAGCATAGCCAACACTTGGGCCACCGTACTCAACTGTGGTTACAGTGGGTCACTGGACCCTGCTCCGGTGCAGGGGATATCCCCGCGCTAACAGCACCCCTGTGGCCCGGCCCTGTGTATTCCCCCGCAAGAGCTGACATCACGCGGCGCGTTGTCTGGGTGACATCCACATGGAAGGAAACTGAAGCTCCCGCCATTCCGATTCCGCAACAACATTGGATCCGGCCACTCCTCCATCACCAATCTCCATCTCCGTCTTCCGTTTCTCCTGTGTTAATCTTTCGTCTACAGCCTACACGCCTATCCCTCCCTACGTCCCTCCTGCTGGCCAGCGAGTCGATGATAAACATGCCCTGACCGTCACCACCACCGGCTCTTCCATTCTTCCATCCAATCCACGACAAAGACACCGACAACCGAGTCACAGACCACGATGGCGAGCTTCCACTCCCACTCTGCCAGTCCCGCCGCCCTCTCACCCGACGACGACCCCCGACCGAGACGGCCTTCACGAACATCCCTTCACGATGCCGCCGCCGCCCCAGCACTATCACCCGGGTCACCAGGCCACGAGCCTGAGGACGAGGTTGACTCGTCCGAGTTCAACGCCGACAACGTCCCCGTTGAAGTCCTCGTCAGGCACCTCCTCGCCGCTAAACAGTCCCTCTCCTCCATGACCCTCGTCCTGCGCGCCAACGACCTTGCCACCTCTGCTCGCCAGATGCACCAAGAATCCGTCATCCTCTCAGCCCAGACCGCCTTTCTGCGCCATGGCATACTCGACGAGGTGCGCATTCTCCAGAAGCTGCGTCGCGGCATGGCGCGCGCCTACGACAACGGCACTCGCGATTTCAAGCACATCATCCGCGACCTCGACATCGCCGACGACCGTCTCGAGAAGATCATGGACGTCTTGGGCAACACCACAGTCGAGACCGTCTTCCGCCAGCCAGGCGAGGAGCCCAAGTCCCTGCTGGATTTTGTCGACCCCAAGATTGTCGAGCAGGTGCGCGACGCGCTGAAGGAAAGCATCCATGAGCTTTCAGCAGCCAAGACCTCGTTTGATGGCGATCTCCTGCGCTTCGACACCGACCTGCGCACGCTTACCGATGCCATGGCCGCCGCCGCCTCCCTCTCCAACCCAACTACGACCGCCGATGGCTATCCCCCCGACCAGCGGTCCATACCCAACCTCCTCTCTGCCATGTCCGACGGCTCTCACCTCATGGCCGAACACCTCTCCTCTTTGACTCGCCACTTCGACATGTGCGTCACAGCCGTGCGCACCACCGAAGGCGGGGCTGCTTTAGCCCGCCGCCGCGCAGCAGAAGTCACCTCCTCAGACGAGGACCAAGTCCCAGTGTCCATATCAGGCGTCATCTCCGCCCAGGAATCGGAATCAGGCCCGTCAGCTTTCGAACCCATGGACCCCCTCGAGCGCCAGGAACTACTACATGTAGTAATGCGCGACGCCGCTGAGGTGGACGACGTAGTTGCCGATATTCACAACGTGCTACAACAAATGGAAATGGACCATGCGTCCCTCCATTCGCTCTTCTCCGCCAGCCGGGCCTCCCACTCCGCCACGCTTACCTGCTTCTCTCTCCTCGAGGAAATCGGTGCCCGGGCGTCCTCGTACATCGCCGCCGAGGCCGAGTTCGTGCAAAGATGGAAATACGAGAAGGAGATTATTACCGAAAACGTGCAAAAGATGGAGGAGCTCAAGACGTTTTATGAAGGGTTTCTGGGAGCTTATGACGGCTTACTGCTCGAAATGGAACGACGAAGAACGGTGGAGGAGAAGATCGATAGCATCTGGAAGAAGGCGAGGGAGCAGGTGGACAAGCTGGTGGAAACGGATAGGAGGCAGAGAGAGCATTTCCGGTTGGAGGTGGGTGATTATGTGCCGGCGGATTTGTGGGGGTTGATGGATAGGCCGCTGGGAAGGTGGACGGTTGTTCCACTGGAGGACACCAGGGAGGGGGATGAGTTGGAACAACATGGAGAACCTGAGAACGAGGGGAGGGTTGAGACTGCATATGAGAGAGAAAGAGAGCCGAGTACGCCGACGCCAAGAAAGGTGCCATTATATGGACCTGGGCCGGCAGGGGAACGACCGTTTTGATGATGATACGATGGTCTTGGGTTTATGATTCAAATTGGGTTTGTTGGTGTTTGGGACGGCGTATGTTTGGAGTTCTTAGTCATCGGGCATGGCATGGAAACAGGTGTGGTGTGGCTGGATGTCACGACTGGCAACATTGGGGCTTGGAAGGCAATCATTCTTGGATAAGGTAGGTAGGTAATGACCAATTTAGATTGTAATTTAAACAAATAGTTCTACTAACTGAATCAGTATTTTAGTAGCAAAGCTGGATGCTCAAACCCATATCTCGTTACCATGGTATTAAATCCATCATCCTCTGATGGGCCGCGCGAGCTTCCAACCTCTCCTCGTCCCACATCCCTCTCTCCAACCTTCTCAGCATACCTTAGCTCCACCAAAGCCCGGCAGGCAGCGGTGGCTTTCGCTTTCTCTTCTCTCTGCTCGTAGGGTAGAGTGGAAGCTTGATTGGATCCATTGGCAAAGAATTGGATTACAGAAGAAGGACTATGAGATTTAGGACTTTGGAAGTTTCAATGGCATACAGCCACGTCAAAATTATCGAGTGTCGTCGACATGGTGGATGAGGAAGGTGTATCTTGGCGTTCCGCTCCCACGGCGAAGTTTACCCCAGACTAGCACCAACCGATGCCCCAATGGTCTACTGGTATGATCCGCGCTCCAGGATCAGGTCAACTCCTCCCTTTGCGTTGAGGCTCCTTCATCGTTCTTTCTTGTTTGTTTCTTTTCCCTGATGAAACTACAGGCTCCCGTTTTAGACGAAATTCTCTGCTGGCATGGCGCGCGGTGAATTGACTTCTAGAGAGACAGAGGTGATCTTGTTCGATTCAAAGTGCGACGACGGTGGCTCAAACGGACCCCTTCATGGGGTTGAGCACTTTTTGGTGTGAACGTGTCGTCGTGAAGGGTTTTTGCGGTAGACGGGAGGAAAGTATTGAGTTGCGTCGATGAGTAGAGGTAGGCCATAGCCCATAGGAGGCAGAATACCTCCGTTTATGGACATTCAATCTTGAGATCAGGGACTGATCTCGAAGTTTCGAGCTTCAACTCTCGCAGGGTGGAGGGCATGTGAATGGAACAAGTAATAGATGGAGGTTGAGTAAAGTGATCGAACATGAGCAATTTGTTCGCTCCTCATAGAAGCCGATCTGTTCTATCCCGTCTCCGGGTATCTTCACGAGGGCAACCCGACTCTTCAAGAGGATCAACGAACTTCACGATGGCTCTATAAAGCCATTCACCTCCCTTCATGGGGTGCAAACGAAGCAGTCCAAGGCCATCAAAAAATTCCCCATGGTTCCTCCTCTGGGAAATATACATATCCCTTTAATTCCACTAGTTCAACATTTTCCACCAAACAACCCAACAACCAAGCGATCAAGCGAAGGCGAAGACAGACCAGCCCTAAACCTCCTGAAAGATATCACCAGGGCACGCAAACCAGGCAGTAAGCCAGCACCGCAATAATCAGAACCAATCTCCCAGAAAAAGAAACACTAACACCCCATACCACAGAACCCTAGAACCAAACCACCAAACAAGCACAAAAGTCCAAATGTGCAGATACGGCATTGAATACAGGTTCTGCCGCAACGGCAACCGGTGCCGGGGTGGCAACGGCCTCTTCCAAGGAACCACTCGCCGCAATAACTATTATACGCAAAGACACAACAGGCGGGACTGCACTAGTAGAGACTGTCGCGGTAATCTGCAGTATGATTGGCGGTTGGATTGTTGGCTTGTGGTGGGGGAGTGTGATACGTGCAATCCGGACTGGTTCTTACAACCTTGAGTACTCAGTGTGAAGGTAAGGGCTGGGAGGAATGAAAAGGGGGGAAGATTCGAGGAGCAGAAAAGGTGGAAACTCGAAGAGTCAAAGGCTCTGAAGGAATGAAGAAGGGAAAGACCCTGGGGGAAAAAGGGAAAAGATGGTGGAGGGAATTATTACAGAGGAATTATGGAAAGGAGGGGTTATGAAAAGGAGGAATCATGGAAAAGGAGGGATCATGGAAAAGGTTAAGACCTAGTCGTAATGGGAAACCGGGAAAATGAAGGTTAGGAAGGAACAACAACTGCGAGAAAACCAAATAAACTTCAAATATGAAAGTCATTTCTCGTCGAACAATTAAGTTCCAAGAATTTCTGGAAAGTTATTATCGAGTGTCTTTGTTGGGTGAGGGTGCGTGTAGGTTTGGGGTGGGTGCGGGTAGGGTTACTCAATAAGTAATAGATGGAGCTTGAGTGAAGTGATTACCTAGGTAAATATGATCAATTTGTTCGCTCCTCATGGAAGCCGATCTGTTCCATCCAGTCTCGGGTTAGAGGTATCTTTACGAGGGGAAGTCGACCTGATTCTTCAAGTGAATCAATACACTTTACGGTACCTATTATGAGCCATTCAACTCCTTTCATGGGTTTGGTCATATGCAAACGAAGCAGTCCAAGGTCATTATAGAATTGCCGATAATTCCTACTCTTGGGAATATAAATATCCCCTTAATTCCACCAGTTCAACCTTTTCTACCAGACAACCAAGCGGAACTGAAGACAGACCAGGCTTAATCCTCCTGAAAGAAATTACCAGAATACACAACCCAGAAGGCAGTAAGCTGGCACCGCAATAATCAGACCCAATCTCCCAGACCAAGAAGCACTAGCATCCCATCGATAGAACCCCCACAATGTGCTACTCCTACTTCGAATACCACTACTGCCGGAAAGGCGCCGACTGTCCGAACGGCTACGGCTCGGTTGACGCACAAGGGCGGCTATACCAGCGATATTACGTCTGGAACACAGTCGAGGTCCGCTGCTCTGCCAGTACGCAGTGCCCTACCAACAGGGTGGCGGAGATGAGGCCGGACTGCAACGAGAGAAAGACCGATGAGTTGTGCTTTCAATGTGAGGCCGCAGCGAGGCGATAACGGAAGAAAAATAAGACGATTCGTTGGCCATGTGGATGGGAAAAGGAGGGATCATGAAAAAGGTCAAGACTTTATGGGAAAGCGGGAAAATAAAGGTTTGGAAGGAACAACTCCATAGGGTAGACGACTCAACCATGGATAACCCAACTTCAAGAGAACCAAATAAACTTCAAGTATGAAAGTCATTTCTCGTCGAACAAATAAGTTTGCATCCTAAAACATTAAGAAGACCTGGGATGTTTCTATACCAAATCCATGACTCTGTGAGTGATGTTAAACAGTGGACGACCTGTCACAGCAACGAGCTTATTCCATCGTTTGGTGACCTGAAAATCCGAGGCACCGATTCAACCCTCCGCAGAGGGCATTGTACTCTTCCCTAAAAATACAATCCCTACACTACGCTCGCCTTTCCGTTTCCATTTCCTGCCCATTTTCACTTGGTTGCCTCTACACCCTCTCATCTTCTCCCGCCCTTCCACCTACAATGACCCAGTAAGATACAGTCGCGTTTTCCAGCTTACTCCGGCGTTCAAGCACATCCAACAAAACTCAGTTACATTGTAACAATCTCGCCACTTCGTATACCGAAGCGGGAAACTCTGAGTTGCAACAAGCCTTGTGTAGGAGGCAATGCATGAAAAGAAAACTGTAATTATTTTCTAGACATGGCTTTTCTGCCAGGGCCCTAGAAGCCACAAGTATAGAGTGTAGAGGCAACCTTCTATACTTTTAGTGACTTAAAGGCCACCAGGTTGAAGGCGTGCATTTACTAGCGAAGGCCTATATTTGATCGTAAAGGCCGACATTGTCGGAATAGCTTCAAAAAGTTCGTCACGAACAGGAATCGAATAGAGAATATCATGCATACAATTGAAAACCAAGAACTACTTCAAGAACCGCTTGTCCACTGAGCCAATTAGTTCCTATATTTATGGGGGAAAGGGTTAGTTCTTTCTGTTTATAAAGGGGAAGTGAGGTGTTTGGGGAGGAAGGTAGGACTTTGAGACTTTGAGACTTGAGGTAATCTCGACCTTCGGACCCGAGCCAGCTCCAAAACCAAGGACACTGTACTATAGCGCTTATCCCCTGAAGGAAACATGGTTTGTCTGAGGAACAAGGCTTGTGCCTGCCTTTTGTCCAAGAAGGACAACCCATGTCACGAAACGCATTTTCCCACTACGGTTATTTCTTGTTTACGTCTTCCTTCGGATCTCTCTGCCTAGTTTCTTTAAGGACGAAACTGTCTGTTGTGCGCGTGGTGAATTAACTACCTCTACTGTGGTAGACGGGAGGGAGGCACTGAGATCCAATCCGTCAATGAGTGAATGGAGGGCTAGGAGACAGGGTAAAGTCACTCGATCTCGAGATAAGGCTTAATCTTGAAGTTTTCTCAGTCTCAACTGCCTTGGGGCGGGTATAGTAAACGAGAAATCTAAGGTACCTCTAATATAGGGAGGGAGCTTGGTAAAGTGATCGAACATGGTGAATTTGTTTGAGTAATCCTACCCGCACCCATCCTAAATCTACACGCACCCTCCCCCACCCAGAAATGTGGGTCGTGCAGCTGGATGACAGCTAACATTGAAAATCCCGTTTTTACCCACTAAATTTCGTATTTTCAATGCACGCCAACATTCCTGTAACTTAGTTATTTTTTTCGCTTATTTTCATATCACTATTTGTACGCATTTGTACATTATATATCAACAACTATATTAATAATTACCTCAATGTACGTAATCTTATTTAAATTAATTAATTTTCATCGCTTTCAGTCGATAATATTAAATTAGATATCTTCGCAATCGCACAACTAAAAATAACGTCGCCGCCGTCGTACTTCCTCCTCTTCCTCCTCTTCGTCGTCATCGTCGTCCGCCGCCTCGACCCCTCCCAATAAGTAAGAGTAAATTATACCAGCCGACGATACATTCTTTACAATGGCGCCTACCCCCAATTTTTATAGCGTTTACAAATAGTTAATTAATTTATATCGCTACTATTACTTTAGTATTATTACCTAGCGATTATAGACTTTCGAAATAGGATTTAATAAGGTGAAATACTAGAACTACGTATATTAATGTAATTACACTCAACCTAAATAATACTTAAAAGACAACCTGTATAAAAAGCGCTATATTACCTTACGTAAAATCGCGTAAGACTATCCCTTTTGAATCGTCGTTTAATTTTTAAAAAAGAACGGTCGTACTTAAAATATACGGCCGTTAAGCCTTATATATTAAAGCTATAGGTTATTAGAATATTTATATAATTACTTTATATTTCGAATAAGGGTTACTAATTTAGACTAATTAAAATATATTAATAGTTTGCTTCGATAATATAATTTAACCGTTCCCTCTATCTATACTAATATTAAAAAACACTACCCCAGCCTATATTTTACCTTTAAAACTTTAAATAATTAGTATTAATTCTTACAATAAGGGGATAGGAATGGCTACGCTGATACTTAAACTTTTAGTAGGAAATTAATCTTTAATATAATAATAGTATTTAAAATTAAGGAATTTAATTACTATAGCCATAAGAGGGAAGAATAAGGTATTATATTACGGTACGCTCTCTAAGTTATTGAATTATAATAATTTATATAGAAGGGTTCTTATATACTTTCTTTATCGATACAACGTATAAAAGTAATTATTATTATATACTATTTATTTAAAGGGTAATTATTATATTAGAGAGGTCGTTTATATTAGTATTTTAAGCGGTTATTCATAATGAAAGGGAGAAATGATATATTTAATTAATTAAATCGTTCGAAAAGGCTATTAAAGAATTCGAGATTCCCCTACCTACTATACTTATTACTAATAGTAATACTTAATTTATTTTTACTATCGACCGATTTTTACTAAATATTTAATACTAACGTTATACTTAGTATATTAATTTTAGCGTCGTTAAATATTTTAAAATAACGATAACGAATTTTAAAGCGATAATAAATATAGTAATAAGGAGTAATCTAGTAAGGAGAGCTCCTATAGCGAAGACTTTAATAAAGCGGCGGCTTAAGTACAAAGAGAAGCCCTTAATTAATATAATTAAATTGATATCGAACGGTTGTACTATATATATAATAAGGTTAAAATAGTTATTAAAATATAGGCTAGGTTAGGTCCGCTCCCTAGGAGGTTTATTAATATTAGAATTGGGTTCTTTTATTTATAGTAATATATAATTTACTCTTCGTTTGAATCGAACTTTAATAACGCGTAGTTTTTCTTCTATTATTGATTTAAAATAGTATAAGAGGCTATTATTAAATAAATTAAATTCGAATTTATTCTTTATAAGTTAGAGTAGACTAATTATTATACGAAATAATATTTTAATTGCGGGCAACGTACTATATCGATAAATAAATCTAATAATAATTTATTGAAGTCGTATAAATGATTAATTCGTAGTAGGTTAATTAACCTCTACAAGGCCGTTATTACCTATATCGTTATTCGCTAGGAACTCTTTAATTAAAAATTAACCTCTTTAGCAATTTGCGTACGTACTACGTAAATAGGACCCAACTATACCTAGCTTAATACTATTACTATGGAAATAACCTCTTAGGGGGTGGATTTGTTTAATAGGTAATATTAATAATTAAAAGCGACCCTCCCTAATATTCGATACCCTAATAGCAATCGTTTGTAGCCCTATTCAAATAATTTTCGAACCTAATACAGGCTCCCTTATACTTATAAAATAAAAGCTGCTTACTAAATTAATAAAATAGTCTTAGTTACTAAGGTGGATTATTACCCCTTTTAGTATTTTATTTAACGATATATAAAGTCCCCTTATTATTAATCCGAGCCTCCTTATATTAATTTACGTAATAGGACGTAGTAGATAAATATTTATAATTTTGCTTAGCCGCTAAGGGGGTATATAAACGTCGTCCTCTTAAATAGGGCGGTCTATTTAGCGACGAAGCTATTTTGCTAATTAAGTTACTTACTTAAGCGACTAAGAAAAAGAATAAAGCAAAAGGATTACGCGGTAAGTTTAAGAATATTTAACCTATACGAGCTTTAGTGCGGTACGATTATTCCTAATATGAGGCGGGGCTTAATATTAAGTAGTTAAATATTTAAGACGAGGTATATAGTTGTATTGAGGTAGCCGACGACGAGGAGGATAAGGAGGATGAGGAGTTAGGTAGATATTAGGAGGAGAGAGTTCGAAAGGTATAGCGGGCGCCTATTAAAATATCCTCTGAACTTTCCTCCCTTAATAGCGATTTTAAATTTAATAACTAATATAGCGAATAAAATAATTAATATATAGCATTTTATACTAATTATTATAAATATATTACGAGATTTGAGTGAGTTATAGGGAAGAATCATTAAGGGGGTTATATGGTTGGGTGATTTAGCTTGAATGCGATACGATATTTAAAATAGGTAAGAATACCGCCAAAACCCTATATTTTATATAATAGCTGACATTTGGGTGGGGAGGGTGCGTGTAGATTTGCCCTGGGTGCGGGTAGGATTACTCATTTGTTTGCACTCCGTGGCTGCTGATCAGTTCTATCCTGTATTTTCTTCTCTTCACCAGTGAGCCTTCACACTTCACGGGGAGAAACGAGTTTACTATAGATCTAAGGAGCCATTCACCTCGATTCATGGGATTGCCCATATCCAGACGAAGCAGTCCAAGCTCGTCACAATATCTTCGATAAATTTACCTCCGGGAGATATAAATAACCCCTTTGTTCTACCAGTTCAACTTCCTCCACTAGACAACCCAACAAGCAGACAAGCAAGAACAGATCCAAGCCTCCAAAAAGCCTCAGCAGTACACACAAACTAGTAAGCCATTCCCACCATAACAAACCTAACCCAACCTCCACATCACCACGAGCGACTAGGAAGCACTACCACCCCCATCAACAGAACCCCCAGAACCAAACCAAACCACCAAAACAGCACAAAAATCCAAAATGTGCAAATACGGCATCGAATACAGGTTCTGCCGCACCGGCAACCGCTGCCCCGGTGGCTACGGCCTCTACCAAACCCCTCGCCGCTGTTACGCGGAAAGAAACAACACGCGGAACTGCTACCGAATCTCGACCTGTCCCGGTTATTTCGCATATGACCCGCGGTTGGATAAGTTTGAGGTGGTGGGAGAGTGTGGGATGTGCCAAATGGACCGGCAAATGCGGGGCTACCGTAACCGCTGTATCAGATTCCGACATGGCAGAAGAGGACCCGAATGCCACATAAAAGCTCAGGGGATTTGGGGATGGCGTGCGGGTTTCGGAAGTGTATCGGCGTGAAGGGAAGGGAAGGGGAGGAATGAAAAGGGGGGAAGATTCGAGGGTCAGAAGAGGTGGAAATTCAGGTTGAGAGTTGAAGGATCTGGTGAGAAGGGATAAGCTGAAGATGACAGGAGAAGGCAACTTACCTTAATGGATACCTCTATGGATGGGAGATGGAGGGAAAGACCCTGGTGGAAAAAAAGGAAAGGATGGTGGGAATCATCAGGGAGGAATGTTTGGAAGAAACAACGTTGAGATTCGAGAGACCAAGATGAATCTCAAGTTCTCAAAGTCACTTCATGAACCATAATGCAAACAAGTGAATGAGCCACTTAAGAGGTCAAATCAGCTTCGGAACTCAAAGTGTTGAACTACTGCAGTGTCAACGTCCAGCGCTTGAAATAACTCAACTCAACTCAACTCGGGGGTTCGAGTTAGTTGAGTGGGTCAACTCGAGATCTCGAGTTGAGTCGAGTTGAGTCGAGTAAGTTGCCAAACGGTGGGGCCATATAAAATCCCGGGGGACCCCTTCTAGAATCCGGTCCCCGGGCAATTTTACTACCAAAAAAAATTCTGCCGGTTTGCCAAGAAGGCGGCCAACTCGGTAACTCAACTCGAGGGTCCCGAGTTGAGTTGCAACTCTAGCCGAAACCCCCAAGTTGAGTCGAGTTGAGTTGAGTCGAGTCGAGTTGAGTTATATAAGTTGAGTTATTTCAAGCGCTGTCAACGTCACGAACGAGGACGGGCGGTCTAACATCTTTTTCAGTGACACATCCGACGTACAATCTCCCTTGAAGACAACGTCAGGTACAGAGACAACTCGACGCCGTAGCAAGTGACTTAAACTCAGCACCTTCACCCATTATCCCATAGCCCCCCCCGACTCCAATATACCACTCAGCCCACCATGTGCTATTACTACCACGAATACAAATACTGCCGGAATTCTTCCTCCTGTCCAGCCGGCTACGGTCGAATCAACTCGGCCGGAGAACTTAACAAGCGGTTTTTCGGATGGGAAGTCCGCACAGTCAAATGCTTACTTGCTCAAGGGGGAACTTCGGGCTTATCGACTTCGTGTTCGAGTGGTGGGTTTGCAAAGTATGAGAAGTGGCGGGATTGTAACACTGTTACTGAGTGTTGTTGGAGGTGTTTGAATGCCGGAGTAAGCTGGAAGACATGACCACTTCTGCGAGGGAGCTTTTTAGGATGTAGAAGGGGAGGACATGAGAGGGGGTAAAGGGAAGAAAAATGGAAACCAGAATATACAGGCATGGGAAAAGAAAAGGAATTCTTAAGGGGTAGATTAACCTCAGCGCAGGTTTAAATGGGCGTCTCGAGTTCTTGAGGCCACCAGACGATGGAATAAGGTCATTGTTGTGACAGGTCGTTCACTACATGTATTCAACATGAGAAGCAGAAGAACATCAAAACCATCCATGGTGACTTCCAGCAATAGAACGAAGTTTTCGAAGTGATCAAGACCCTAACCTTGACCCAAAAGGCCCATTACCTTCCTACCAACCGTATCACCGTCACTCTTCCCTTACTAACCATACCTGGCAGCCCTGGCTGCGGCCTTGCAGTGAGGACACAGCTTATCAATCCTTCTCGAGATGAAATAGTGATTCATATTCGCCCGCCTGCGGGTAGGGCAGCTGCTTATATCGTCATAGCAGCTGACTATTCTTCTGATGCGCTTGAACCATCGCCGGTACAGCACCCCTTGTTCGTCGACCCAGCCATAGCCTGCCGGACAGTCGGCGGCGTTTCGGCAAAAGTGGTGTTCCATGTAGGAGTAGCACATGGTGAGTAGTTATTAGTCCGTTTAGGCAAGTTGATGTGGGAAAAGCTGGAATTCCGATGGGGGTTGCGAAAAAACTGGGAGACGTACCTGTTGGGAACTGTGTGCTGTTATATGCTCCGTGTTAACATCAACTGCCATCGAACTTGCAATGCATATATGAGTTCATTGACGAACTTGGCTGGTCAGTGATCCATTGAATCCGTTGTTAAAAGTAGGAGCCGTCAACAACCATGAATCGAATCCTCACAACGCTCAATGCCATTGTGCGCCTGGGTCATGTCCCGGAGGCAGGCCAGGAGGTAGTGATTAGCGATGTAGATAAATCAAGTTGCCAAACCAAGTTCACGCAATCAAGCAAATACAAGCAATCAAATCGGGGTCTCCCTATAAATCAATCAAGCAACTACAAATCTATAATTGATTGAGCTTACTTGGCCGCCCGGTAGAATTTTTTTTTGGTGGTAAAAGTTGTCCTATTTTGCCCATAGTCCGGACTTTCAGGAGCGATGTCAGGTCAGGGTTAGGGTTTGCTATATACTCCACTTGTCTTGGCAATTACTTGACCAATCAAGTAATTAACCAATTTAACTCTATTACTTGACCCACTCAACCAACCTCAAACCTTTGTTTGATTGAACTTAAGTTATCTACATCGCTGGTTGTGATGGGTTGACTTTTGATCGCAAGTTTCCAGTCCATTCATTATCCACAGATACCCAGAGGTTGAACCCCAGATTTAACCATGATTAAAACATAAGGTCAGGTAGATGACGATAGGTTTCCTTGTATACCCCGGAACCATGGTGTTGCTTGATGACTTGGGGTGGTTGCCAGTTAGCACTAACAGCTGGGTTCGGCCCACAAGGACGCGTACTGTTAGTGCCAGTGTCCGCACTCGGCATCAATTGTAATCTGGAGTGAACGGAAGCATGAATAAATTGATAAATTCAGGATTTCATACCGGTTTCCCGAAACTGAGTCACCGGTTGATTTGTTCTGCGCCGGATGTTGAGATGTGGAAAATGCAAAAGGAATTTGGAATGAATCAGAATGATAGCGTCAGCATCATCGCTTAAGCGTAGGCGGCAGGCACACCCAGTGGCAACACCGGTGCAGGGATGCATTGTCTGTACCGAACGAACCTCGCAGCATCGGAGAGGCAAGAAATAAATTACATATGCTGAATACTGAGCCAAAGACTATTTAAACAGCAAGATCATCTCAAACGCAAACATTCAATAACCTCTTCCAATCCATCTTCGAGTCGTTGTCGAGAACTCACAAACGACCCTAACCCTGAATCTTGAAAACAGCCCTACGAACTCCAACCTCTTGGCAAAGCTGGCCGACACCCCGCATTGCGATAAGATAAGGTGAGCTCGCCCCACCAAGAAAATTGCCAGTGGAAGTAGGGTCCAAGTTCCATGACGCTTTCCATCCTGTCTCCAGCGCCCGTTGCACTTGCCCCCCATCACCACCTGCTAACAACCAACGGAAGCAGACCCGGCAACAAGATGGCTTCCCAACCAGAACTCACGTCGACCACTCCGGCGACCGACAACCAGAATGTCGACCTCAACAACACCACCGCCCAGCTCGACAACCTTGCGATCGAAGAGGAAGACGACGACGACCTCCAAGATGTCTTCGAATCCGACGATGACCTCGACTACGAAGATGGCGGCGCCGACCTGACCAAGTCATACAACCGCCAACAACAAGGCGCCGGCGGTACCAACTCCCAGCAGTCCCAGGCCCAGGCCCAACAACAAAAACCCACAGCCAACACTTCAGCCCGCGTCGACGACCAAATCGCCGCCCTCTCCAAGTTCGCCGGAAAGATCCGCATCGACGCCTTCGACAATGCCTCCGGTCCCGCCGAGCGCAGCAAAGACAAGTCCGACCGCGCCACCTCCGAGCTCGTACTCGACCAGCGCACGCGCATGATCCTGCTGCAAATGATCAACCAGGGCTTCGTCTCCGAGATCCACGGTGCCATCAGCACGGGCAAGGAAGCCAACGTCTACGGTGCTATCCTGCACCCCGAGGATGGCTCGGCTCCCGTACACAGGGCCATCAAGATCTACAAGACGGCCATTTTGGTGTTCAAGGATCGCGAGAAGTACATCACTGGTGAGCACCGCTTCAAGAGCGGCAGCGAGAAGGGAAACAACAGGAAGATGGTCAAGCTCTGGGCCGAGAAGGAGTTCAGGAACCTGCGCCGTCTGTACACAGCCGGCATCCCCTGCCCGGAGCCGATCAAGCTCAAGCTCCACGTCCTTGTCATGAGCTTCTTGGGAGATCGCAAGGGGTGGGCTTACCCCCGTCTGCGCGACGCCCCCATCTCCGGAGACGACGCCGACGAGCAATGGCGCGACCTCTACATCCAACTCCTCGGCCTCATGCGCAAGCTGTACCAAGTCTGCCGCCTCGTGCACGCCGATTTGTCGGAATACAACATCCTCTATAACAACAAGAAGCTCTACATCATTGATGTTTCTCAATCAGTCGAGCACGACCATCCCCACTCGCTCGAGTTCTTGCGCATGGATATCAAGAACGTCGGCGATTTCTTCAGGAGAAAGGGCGTCGACACGCTGCCGGACCGCACGATTTTCGATTTCATCGTCAACCCCAAGGGGCCGGCGGAGGAACCCGGTATGAAGGAGACCATCGAACAGCTTTACCAGACGAGGGTAGAGGTCGAGGATACCGAGGAGGCCAGGGCCGAGCAGGAGGTCGATAACGAGGTTTTCAGGAACCAGTACATCCCCAAGACGCTGAACGAGGTTTACGATATCGAGAAGGATGTGGCCAAGGTCAACGAGGGTCAGGGAGAGGATTTAGTGTATAAGAACCTGTTGGCGGATCAGGTGGTGCAAAAGACGGCGGAGGAGGAGGAAGAGGAGGATTCCGAGGAGGAGGAAGAGGGCAGCGGTGATGAGGAGGAGGGTAGCGAGGACGAGGATGACGAGAGCCGATTCGAAAAGGGAACACCAAGAGGCAAAAGATTCGTCGATAAGGACGAAAAGAAGCAGCATAAGCAGGCGGTTAAGGAGGCCAAGAGGGAGAAGAGGAAAGAGAAGATACCCAAGGCGGTCAAGAAGAAGTTGGTGAGCAGCAGTTCGAGGAGGAAGCACTGATTGCTGTTTATGGGTACCCCTTTCCTTTTCTTCCTGTTCCGAGTCTTCTTTGCTTATGGGTTAGGGTATGGTTTCTATGGCGCTAGAGAATAATGGATCATGTCATCTTCCAGCCTGCGTATCGTGCTTTGATGCGTTTTGGCGTTTCTTCTCTCTTTCATATCTGACCCCATCACCTTTAACCTGAGTACTTCTACCCATTATGCCTTGCGAGACAGACGGGTGCGCAGCAAGAAAAGCAACCGAATGACGAAAGCAGTACAGCCTGCCCGAGATGGTCGTCTCCTCATGAGCTTGTAATGGTTTTGCCCCTACCAGGGCGAAGCCTCTTGCTCTCAAGTAGAGACGCTTTCTTGGTAGACAGGTCCGAGCCGCTGGTCAGCCACGCAAGAGTGGTGATGCCGGGCTATGACGACCAAAGAGAGCACTGACGGTTTGCTCATTGCTTTTGCTCCCAACCTAAAGCGCCTTTCAACCCCCGAGAAAAATTCCATTGGTTTCCTTTTACCCTTCGAACGTACCCGGAGATAGAAAGGTAGGTACCTACCATCCACAACCCCTTTTTCTTTTCCCCCCTCTCCGTTTCCTGCCTCCCCCCCTCCATATTGCTCCTCAAGCTCCCTTACCAACCTGCCCATATCAACCTAGCTCCCCTAACCCACACCACAACCCCCTCCAGCGCCCCCACCCCCTCAGCGCCCCAAGTCACAATTTGTGCACAACCCATTCATTTTCCTGTCCTTCCAGGCCATCTCCACAACCCGCCTTTTGGTAGGACAACGGGCTCGATCGTCGTAGCAGTCGACAATTATGAGCTTTCTCTTGAAGTATTGCTGATACAGCCGGTCCTCAATGTCGACCCAGCCGTAGCCGAATGGACAGTCGGCGCCGCGGTGGCAGTAGTGGTGTTCCGTCGTAGTAGGAGTGGCACATCTCTTGTTGCTTTTGGGTGTTGTTTTCCTCAAGAGATGTTTTCAGTGATGATATTTTGGGTCCTTGGAGAGGGTTGGAGTTGCGCTGTGGCGGGAGGGAATCCCGGAATGGAAGCGGAAGGGAGGGCATTTTGTGTGCCTGATTCTAGGAGCGTCGGAGCTTCTCCTACTTTCAGTGGATGGAAGTAAAAGGCTCTTCACATACCTTTTTTTTATTTATAGCCAACCTCAAAGCCATCTTGATATTCAGCTTGATGCTCGCAATCTTCGTCTCGGAAAGCTGTGTTTCCTCGTGGATGTGATCTGGGCCTTGTTGAAGTCGCTGGAGTGCTGCAAGGAGTGGTTGCCCATTGGAAAAGATGGGGTTACAATGGACGGGAATACCCGAATGAGATCCACCCCCAGCACGCTGGGACGAGCGTCCGGAGCAAGATATGAGGGCGATCGACGTTGCTCAAGGTAGACAATGAAAAACGAAGTGGGAGAAAAAAAAACAAAAAGCTCGGCCCGCCCAGGCTCGGAATCGAACTCGGGATGAGTCGACTCTGTACGAGCAAGGTATAGACCTACGAAAATACCACGCATTTTCTGGACCCAGCGCACTACCACGTAAGCTACTGGACCGTGGTGGAAGGTCCGACCTTGAGGGCTTAGAGCGTGTTCGGTCGCTCCTGAATCGAGGGCTCGGAAGATTTCAGAGCCGGGGTTCAGAAAACTGTTCAGTCGTTTCCTGAACTAATTTGGGTAGGGAGCCCCGCAAAACCAGTTCCTGAACTCCTCCTAAAATTTCTAGCCCACATTAGAGTAAACTACCTAATAAAATCTGTATATTCTTTCTAAACGGTTTAGAACCCAAAAGGCATTTTGAAAAGCCAGAAATTTCTACTTTTTGACACACGTGACAACAAGAACCTCAACAACACCAATATCGACAATTAATACTAATATCAATAGTCAATACTAGTACTACTATAGAGGAGCGCTCGTAAATAATATAAACGCTACAATCCCTCTACTACTATATAGCGAAAAGGAGGAAACTATCATGGGGTAAGGCGAATAGTATGGGGGTAGATTGGATATGCGTAGTTGTACGAGGAGAGGAGAAGAGAGGTGTGCGCAGGTCTGGCGATATAAGGCAAGGTACGAAGGCCATGCCCAGAGCCGGAACCAGCGCACGTGCACATACACGTGATGTGCCATTGGCTAATGGTGGCAATGGCATGGCACGAGGCTCAACTGCCTATGACAGGAGCCGTGCATATGCCAGGCACAGTCACAGGTAATCCTATGACAGAAACGTAGCTAACTATTCAAATTAATAGTAATAATACTAGTTACTAGTATTATACTATAGGAACTAAAGATTTTACGTAATTTGTATAGTATACGTAGCTTCTTCGCTATTAAAAATTTATTCGATAAGTATTAAGAAAGATTGTATAAATTAGCACAATTCTAACTGTCTATTTTCAATACGCTAGTAACGTAGTTAGAATATTATATTAATTTCGAGCCTTTACCGCGTGTATTTATATACGAAAAAGTATTAATATTCCTCTTTATTACAATATAGGGGTTGACCCTCCGTATAGCGGTATACTTATTTAGTTATAACATCGCTATCATATACCAGTTAATTAATATAAATATTAAAAAAGAAATTATTACATTAATTTATTATTAGAGACTTTTATTAAGTATTCTAGGTATATACTATCCTCGCCGCCTATAAGGTCCGACTTCTTAAAATTAAAACCCCTAAGGAAATTAAAGGTAACCCTAAGTTCTTCTTATATTTCTGCTACGTTTTGGAAGCTTTCGATAATTTATACTTCCCGGTACGGATACGTAGTAAAGATTAATAATTATAGCGCAATTATAAAGGAACCTTAATAGTTAATATATTATTAATATATAATTTCGATAGTAAGTTTATGAATATATTACCTAGTTAGGAAGGGTCGGCCAACGATATAAAGGTATTAAATAATACTTTTATTTAGGGATTTAATATATTATTAGGGTGGTATTATTTAGCCGACAGTGGCTATACTAATACTTTACGTTTATTCGTACTATACTGTAGCGTAAAATAGTCTTTCCTTGAGCGGAGCCGGATATGCCCGAGGGAGACAATGAAGCGCCCATAAATTCATATCTTAAGCCGTAAAAAGCTAGATCCACATATCCCCTGGAACTAAAACACTAATAAAAATATTACTAGATATTACCAAACATTACCAAATATTACCCTCCTGCTCAAATTTCTATTATTATCCTAAATAACTCTAAATAACCTAAATAACGCTCTAAACGTCTTTATAACGCCAACCTCCCCTCTCTCCTATTACTGGCTCCCGTGAAAGGATACTATAAGAGCCCTATAGTATAGTAGCGTACGAAGACGTTCAAAGCGCCATTATTAATATAAGTAACGTAGAGACTATATATTCGAATTATATCTATACCTCTTTCGTTCTCTTTATTCTATAATATAATTATTAAAACGCTTTATTCCGTCTACGCTAACTTCTCACAACTATCGTACAATCTTATCCGTTAGGGGTAACTATCGGGGGGACCGTCTAATGGGAATCTACTTATAAAAATCTTATAATATTAGTAAAGTAAAGAAATTATGGTATAAGTAAATCACGGGTTATCCCTCGGAGTAGGCTCAAGAGACTCGTTCTCTAAAGACTTAGGGTAGGGTTCGTACTATAAGTCCTAAATTCTTTTTTACTACTTTTTACATCTATTATAATAAAAATCCTGTGAATAATATATGAGAACTATATAAAACTATATAAATGAACTATATTAATTATTCCCTTCGATTTTTCCTCCCTTCAATCGCGGCGGTCTATTAACTATATTCTTACGGGGTTTTCCGCAAAGCTTTCTAATATTCCCTACTTTAGGTAGGATATTACTAACTTTCTTTAAAGTATTACTAACTCTATTACCGGGCGGTCTTCTACGACGTCTATTACCAAAAGTAATTCTAGCGGTATTAGCTAGTAATTATATAGTGGGAAAGGCATTAGCAAGCAGTCTACTACGTAATTAATTACCAGCTCTATTACTACGAAATCTACTACGAGCTTTACCTCGTACTCCCCTTCCCCGGCCTGGCCAACTACTATCGGTATTATTATTATTATCGTCGTCGATATTACCGAAATTAGGTAGGAGCTAATATACTTAGTTGGAGGCCGGAAGACTACCCGGGTTACGGATATAATATAGCGGTAGGGGTTAGCCTAGTTATAATTATTAAAGTATATATTTAATTATATTTATAATTCGGTAAGTATAGGTCTTAGTATTTTTAAACCGTAAAACATCTATTTCAAAGCTCTCATCGAATATAATATTATCGAAGGTACAGATAGAGGAGACAGCTACGTATAATAAACTAATTATAAAATCCTTCTTCGAAATATCGATAACCGTTTTATCCAATATTTAACCCTATACTTTGTAGACTATAATAATAGATACAATCGTTAAAGGGAATTGGATTCTTTTATAAGAAAGAATTCCCTTTATAAATTTTTAAATAGATTAGAATATCGGTATAGTATGCTCGGGGTCTTTAATATTAGAGTAATTTAAGTCTTCGAAGTAATTAGATCCTTTGTAATTGGGGAAATTGACAAATATAACGAAAGGGGGGTCGCCGGCTTCTAGATTGTAAAAGAGTTAACAAATTAAGTATTGAAGATTAGATATATAATTTATTGACTATTATATAATTAATTACTATCCTACGCAATATTAATAATTATATTAATCGAACTATTGATTAAATTAGCTTGAATTTAAGGATTTTCGGTAAATATAATTGTATTACCCTTAATATATATAAATTTAATATGTAGGTTGCTAATATTAATATATTTAACGTCTTTAGCGCTGGGGAGGATATTAGTAAATTTAAAAATAAAGGTTAGAAATTATAATTCTTCTAAATAACGAAGGTTATATTTATTAACTATAGTATTAGTTAAGTAAATTTACAAAGCATTATCGAAGTTTATTCATTTTAGTACTAGTAGTTTAAATTTAATACGAATAAATAATAACTTCTAGTCGTTAATAATAGGGTTATTAGTTCGTAACTTATTTAAAGTTTTACGGAATATAATTTAAATATTACCTTATTAATAGACGACTTATTTCAATTCGATACTCAAATTGAAATTGAAATAATAGGTTCGATTACCGTAT